TTGTTGTAGTGTCAATAGATTTGTACACTTTTTCCTGCCCTGGAAATTCACTCATTAGCCATTTATTCAACTTGTTGACATTGGCATTTAATGGAGAAACAATCGCTCGCTCAGCAAGCCAGTCTGGATGTTTTCCATTCAAGCTCAAGTCTGGATACACTCTTGCCTTCAAATCCTCTAGTTTCTCAACACATTTGCCAAGTTCTTCAGGAACTAAAATTGTATCAGGTACTTCCACATAAGGGAGGTGTCCATCTCCAATTGTAAGAAGAAGGTTTGAAAAGTTTGCTGAATCTGAATCTCGTCATATGAGCCCTCATATTTGTTGTCAGCTTCTTCACAAATACGTGTCTCCAAAGGTAGGATTCCTTTAAACTTGCATCAACAATGTTTGCTCTTGTTCCATTTTTCACAACAGGCAAAATTTGACGGAAGTCCCCTGATAGTAGAGTTTGAATACCACCCATTGTCTTCTTGACACCTGTGATGTCTTGTAAAGTTCGATCAATAGCTTCAAAAACAGTCTTATGAGCCATGGGGGCTTCATCAACAATTATTGCTTTTGTTTCCCGTATTACTTTGGCCATGTTAGAGTTTCGAGTAACTGAACATGTAGGCTCATCCATTCTGTATGTGTCCAGTGGTACTTTGAAAGTGCTATGCAAAGTACCTCCTCCTTCCAACAATGTTGCTGCAATACCACTTGATGCAATTGCCAGCACAATTTTTCCTTCTGACCTAATTTTTTGCTAGAATTAAGTTTTGCAAATAAGTCTTACCTGTTCCTCCAGGTGCATCAAGAAACATAATGTTGTTATGATCTTCTATTTCACCATTCACCATCTCCAAAAATGCTGTATAAGCACTCCTTTGATCCTCAGTCAATTTTTGATATTGTTCATCAACCTGAACTGCCAACTCCTCCTGATTGTAGTTGGTCTCACGTCTGTATTCACGACAAAGCTGCTCATTATCAACATGGGGTGCTCTTGGTAAGCCATATGTTGTCAAAACATGTCCTCCCATCATGAGAACTTTGTATTCCAAATGACACAAAACTTGATTGAAAATTAAATCTGAGACTGGAGCATCTGAACCCTTCAATGATCTCACCATCGAATTTACTATTTAACTTTCACAAAAAAAAAGATGGACTCTTATGTTTACCAGTAAATTAAAAAATAAATAACTAAATGAATTAATTGTATTATCAGAGTTTACTAGCCTATATACCACTTACCACTACATGGAGGTCGAATATAATGTTACTAATTTAAACAAATCTATAATAACACCGGTATTTAATTATTTATTTCCCTTTATTATCTATATTTTATAATATTTCTGGTTTCACTGCATATTTACTTCCAACAACTCATTTAATTAATTGCATTATTATACATCAAAGCTTACTTATACCACTTATGCAGGCCAATATATTGGAAAGAAGGAGGCCGAATACATATCCAAATTAAAATATGTTACAAGTTAAAGAAATACAAGAAAAAAGTGGCGAAACACCTGCAGTTTCCTGTGCCAGGTATACTTTAACCTTTATCCTCTTCACCACTCATCGGCCCGTTACGCACTGTTGGCAAGTACTGGACATGCACCGGCTCCTGAATGTATCTGAACCTGCTCCAGTGTTGGTCAAGTCTGGTCTTGAAAAAGCTCTCACTCGGTGCCGTCATGACACTCTCTGGCAGATTGTTCCAAGAGTTCACAACTCTCACCCCGAAAAAGTTACCCCTCAGTTTCCGGGCCTGCGGCTTCTTCAACCTTGAGCTGTGACCTGTCTGTAGTATAAGCTAGGCAAGTTCAGGCGCTCCAATCTCTCAGGGTAGCTGAGGTGCCGAAGTGCAGGCACCAGTCTGGTGGCCCTCCTTTGAACATTTTCAATCAACTGACAGTCCCTAGTATATCTCGGGAACCAGACGAGGTGACAGTACTCCAGATGGGGAAGCACTTCACTCTTGAAGATCGTTACGGGGGACGAACCCTCTAGATATCTGAACGACCTTCTTACAATATAAGATCTAATAATTTATTTGCCTGATTTGCCTTTTTCTCGCAATGGCCCGAGAACTTCAGCTGATTGTCAACATGCACAATGCACACCTAGGTCCTTCTCTCATTCAATCTCAATGGTGCATTTTTTCATCCCGTTGGGACATATGATACACCTACTTACCGTTGATATGTCCCAGGTGCATCCTTTTACACTTCGTGACATTGAACCTTCGCAGCCATTTCTTCGACCATTCTTGGAGCTCGCAGAGATCCTTCTGCAGCCCTTCACAGTCCGCTTGGTTCTTGATTTCCCGAAATAACTTGGTTTCATCCCCAAACATTGGTATGGAGGAGTGAACAGCGTCAGGCATGTCATTTATGAAACAAACAGGCAACAGTGGGGCCCAATACACTGCCCTGTGGCACCCGCTTGTGACAGGTACAGATGATGATTTCGTGCCACTAACCACCACACACTGCTTGCGATCATGTAGGAACTAGGAAGTTTTTCTATCTACGCTAGGACATTTCCCCAAATTCCGTACCCTTCTAGTTTAATTTTCAGCCTTTCATGGGGGTACACTGTCGAAAGCCTTGGCAAAATCTAGGTATATATTGTGGATATTACCACCCTGTTCCAGAATATGAGTCCAAATATCCAATACCTTGTGAATGGAAAGTGGCTTATGTGAGTCCTATCTTCAAGAAGGGCGATCGTCACTCCACGAACAACTATAGACCGGTGAGCCTGACCAGCATAATATGTAAAGTACTTGAGAGTATTATCAGAGAGGCCGCAATGGAACATCTAATACGAAACAACCTTGTAAAAGATTGCCAACACTGTTTTATGCCCGGGCGCTCCTGCTTAACACAATTGCTCAAGGTATTGGATATTTGGACCCATATTCTGGAACGGGGTGGTAATATCGACAATATTTACCTAGATTTTGCCAAGGCTTTCGACAGTGTACCCCACAAAAGGCTGAAAATCAAACTGGAAGGGTACGGAATTCGGGGAAATGTCCTAGCGTCGATAGAAGACTTTCTACATGACCGCAAGCAGTGTGTGGTGATTAATGGCACGAAATCGTCATCTGTACCTGTCACAAGTAGGGTACCACAGGGCAGTGTATTGGGCCCGCTGTTGTTTGTTTGTTTCATAAATGACATGCCTGACGTCGTACACTCCTCCATACAAATGTTTGCCGATGACGCCAAGTTATTTCGAGAAATTAAGAACCAAGCGGACTGTAAAGAACTGCAGAAGGACCTTTGTGGGCTCCAGGATTGGTCGAAGAAATAGCTGCTGAGATTCAATGTCACGAAGTGTAAGAGGATGCACCTGGGGCGTACCAACGGTAAGGAGGCGTATCATATGTCCCAACGGGATGAAGAAACTGCACTAGTTGAGGCTGTGTGTGAGAAAGCTCTAGGTGTGCATGATGACAATGAGCTGAAGTTCTCGGGCCATTGCGAGAAGAAGGTAAATTAGGCAAATAAATTATTGGGTCTTATGGAAAGGTCGTTCAGATATCTAGACGGTCCGTCCCTCGTAACGATCTTGAGGATTGAAGTGCTTCCCCATCTGGAGTACTGTCATTCTATCTGGTCCCCGAGATATGCTAGGGATTGTCAGTTGGTTGAAAATGTTCAAAGGAGGGCCACCAGACTGGTTCCTGCACTTCGGCACCTCAGCTACCCTGAGAGATTGGAGCGCCTGAACTTGCCTAGCTCATACTACAGACGGGCAAGGGGGGACCTAGTTGAGGTGTATAAGCATCTCAGGGGGCACTACTCAGTTGAGTGTCCTTACTTGGAGCTGGCGGACGCTCGCCCCACTAGGGGTCACAGCTCAAGATTGAAGAAGCCGCAAGTCCAGAAAACCGTGAGGGCAAACTTTTTTGGAGTGAGGGTTGTAAACTCTTGGAACAATCTACCTTAGAGTGTTGTGATGGCACCGAGTGTAAGCTCTTTCAAGACAAGACTTCACCAACACTGGAGCGGGTTCAGGTACATTCAGGAGCCGGTGCATGCCCAGTATTTGCCAGCAGTGTGTGACAGAGACGTGACCGATCGCCCGGGCGGCTAGCGAGCCGATCTTTTGGTGAAGAAGATAAATGAAAAGGAAAAGTAATCAGAGACGTGACCGATCGCCCAAGCGGCTAACAAGCCGATCAGTGGCGAAGAGGATAAAAGTAAAAGTTGAGTGATTGTGTTAAGTAGGAGCGCCCCGGCATAAAACCGTGTTGGCAATCCCTTACAAGGTTGTTTCGTAGTAAATTTTCCATCGTGGCATCTCCTGTATTTCATCTGAAACTGCTACACCTGCATTATTATCTTTTCGGTCATGCAACGAATTTAAGTTTAGGTAAGATTGAAATTATGGCTTTCCGATGTTTTTTGGTGTGTTTTGAACGACCCTGACCCTCGGAAAATAGGTGCATGACCGAAACGACAATTTTACCAGAAATACGAAGAGTGGCGAAGAGAATAAGGTAAGATACTGTATATAGAAGATCCTAGCAAGTCATAGTGTCTCTTTTAAATTACCCGCTTACAATTCACCACGGCAGACGACAGTAAAACCAAAAGCCCTAATTTACGAATTAACTCTAAAAAAATGCAGTTCGATAATCCGTTTTCTCTAATTAAATTTATTGATAGGAAGAGTAATTAATTAAAACAAAAATAATATCGAGGAATTACACCAGAACTAGTTTTGTCTTGTTGTTCTCCGCGTCAGCTGTGAGCCAAGGCTGACACAGTGCGAGTCTGACATGGTGACTATTAGTAGTCTTATCTGGGTGAACCTCCCTAATATCGTTGTTGCTAATAGATTCATATAAGCATTGGGAAGGATGGGAAACTGCCTGAAAAGCCCCACATCAGACGACATATCTCTACTTGATGGTTCTGAGAGTGTAGCCAGAGAGGGCAGCTCGTCCTCGGACCAGATGACTGAGGGTGACTCAGTCCCTCAGGTGGAGGTAAGACACCACAGTTCCATATTATTTTAGTGTTTCAATCTCTACCTTTGATATAATGTAATATACAATAGGCATTACAGAGTTTTGAAGATAAGATGATGTCAACATCCCAGGGAAGGAACTTGGGACTTGTAATGTTTCAGTTAGATTTGTTAGAAAACAGATTAAGACAAAACTCTTCATTCATTATAATTATAGTTAGGGTGTACAAGAGGGGTTCCACTTTGGCCAAAACTTCAGAAGAGTTTTACCAGGTGTTTGATACATCTTACCGTTACAAGATATTACCATATAAGGTGTTAAAGATTTTTTTTAAGAAACTGAAATTCTAGTTGAAAATGAATGATCAGTTGACTTTCCCCAGTGCTACTGCCAATGCTCTTTTGGCAGTGTAGAAAAAAAAAAGAGGCTGAAATGTGAGATTGTAGTTATGAGGCCTGGCTCGGGACAGACATAGGAAAGGTGTTATCCAGTATGAGTGTATGACCCTACCGAATAACACAAGTTTTCTCTTGGTGAACAGGTCAATCATAGGAATGGCTGTTAAGTTGATAAGTGGAAAAATTATGAATTAAAGTACTGTACTGCCAAACCTGAGTAGCCATACACTGCTCATTTGACAACTCTTGTTAAAATCAGATGTTGTTCTGTGATTCTTTAAAATCACGGTACTATATTACTTTGTGTTAAACACCATGTATTGGGGAAAATAACCAATTACTGGGATATTCATTTCCATATTTAGTCACAGATAATATATTTTGGTATTAGTGATAAATTTGAAATATTTCCTGTACGATTTCCCTCGTGAAATAAAAAAATTATTGCTATATATAGGAAAATGTCGATAATTTTGGTAACTGCGATATAAAAATTGGTTATATAAAGTTGCTATATATCCCGACCATATCGTAGCTGGAAAATTCGGGGATGTGAGATCTTTTTCCGGGTTTGAGAGATGAAAATCAGGCGCATTTTCCGGAAATTTTAATACATATTTTCCTGTACCCGGAAAATTACAGGGATGGGAGATATTTTTCCGGGTTTGAAAGATGATGTAGTAATGGGCAACTTCTGGAACTTCCGAGAACATTTTCTGTTACCTGTAAAATTCCAGGGATGAGGGATTTTTTCCGGCTTTGGGAGAGTCTTCTCGTTACCCGGAAATCTCTCATTCCCGGAAGTGTTTTGCACCAATTGATCCGGCTAACATTGATATCACTGTACTCCTAAGGGTAAGAGCTGGAATTCTCTGAGTAGGTTGGTACTCTATCTGTTTTGTATGTGCACTATATCTGTTTATAATGGAAAAATTTTGATGGTGGCTAAAAAAAAATTCAATCTTTAAAATGTAAAAAATTAACAACAGTACAGTAAAGCCTTGAATAACGACGTTAATGTGTCCTCCAATATTGCAGTGTAAGGTGAATCGTCTTATCGCGAATCATTAATTACCATTAAAATAAAGCAATAATAATGAGATGCGTTCCCAATTGTGACCTTTTCATATCTTTTGTGTGGCTTTTTACCCTCTTTTCCACCCCAAATCAATACAATTAATGAAAATTGCAAACTATATTCTTTAAATAATGTTTCTGAATACACCTTATACAATAAATATGAATAATAATATGGTCACACAAGAGGAGATGGGACGCCATTGTTTTCGTTTGTGTTTACAACTGGGAGTCCGGGACAATAGTTCTGCACGAGAAAATTAAGAAAACAAGACCCTGGTTGTAGCTGTAGCAAATTTAATGTAAAAAAATGAATATATAGGTTTTAAGTAACGTTATTTAATGTTAATAAATGTAATAATCGAAGTAGCTAACCACTAATGGCAAAGAAAAAAAAAAGAGATGGATTGGGAACGCCAACATATACCTGCGCATTTAAGGATACCGCATCATTTATCTTAAGAATGTGTACAAAAGATTTATTATTGTTTATTACTGAATTTGTACTGTATTTGATTGAATTAATCTTTATATATGCGAAATGAACAATACAATTCATTAATACGTAGAATATTAAAACATACAAGAGGATAAGAGACGACATTGTTGTCAGTGTTTACACCCAATGTATACGTGCGCACTCAAGGAAACATAGTAATTTATCTTAAGAATATGTACAAAAGATTTATTATTGTTTATTTCTGAATATGTATTCGATTGAATTTATGTTTATATATTTCAAATGAACAATGCAATTCATTAATATGAAAACACACAAGAGGAGACAAGACGGCATTGTTTTCGTGAGTGACGATGGTTCTACATAAGAAACTGAAGAAAATAAGACCCTGGTTGTAGCTGTAGTGAACTTAATTTAAAAAAATTGAATACCTGTATGTATGTTCTAAGTAATGCTATTTAATGTTAATAAATGGAACACTCGGAATAGCTAACCACTAATGGTAAAGAAATAAGGTGAGACGATTGGGAACACCGACTTTACTGTATGCACTGTCGGTCAGTAATATACTGTTTGATTTTGTTGGTGTTTATTGTCTCAATACAGAAGGCACCAATACCTGAAATGTACAGAACAGGAATTAACACACATAGGCTACACCATCTCACACATATACTAGTACACAAACTCCAATGACTATACGCTTGGAACAGTACACCGACGTATGAACAGTAAGTGCATACATGCGAAAACATATCTTCATTTCTCTACATATGAATAAGAAAGCAACACTTATTTACTGTTCATATATGTTTTAAATAATACTTATGAATGTAAAAATAAAATTCTATTCACCAAGGGTGGTAAAGTCGAAAACATAAGGACAGCCAATGAATATTGTGCGAATTTTTACTCAGATGACGAAGTCATCAGGTTCAACTATGGCTGAAGCTGTAGCTTTCCATAAAGCTGTTGCTGAAACTGTTACTGAACCTGAAGTTGATGTTGAAGCTGCTTATGATGCTGAATTTGATGGTGAAGCTGAAGTTGATGGTTTAGGCCTTCAAATAAAAAGCTGTCGAAAGAACCTTGCACAGCTGCTTTCTTTTCTCATTACTGTATATGTACATCTTTATGTAGAGGTCATTTGTGTTTATTTAAGTTTTATTGCTTTGTTCTGTTAATGGATCCACTTCAGAAAATATGTTCATTGCTTGCTCCATATAATATCCACAGACCTCTCACCTTTTTCATATCGTTTTAATACATCTAGTTTCTCGGCTAAGCTTATACACCTTTTATTAGCTTTTGAAACAACACTACCATCACTTGCTCTCTTGCTCATGTTGAATAGGGATGCAAGAATGCTGTAAGAAACCTGAGAAAGTTTTTCTCCAGTTCCTGTTCCAGATGCGTGAAAACAAAAGGCCTTCCAAGCTCCGACTGTTGTTTACCACTCATTAGCAAGGCAGCTTCTTTGCACAAGGCGCTCTTCATTGTTTTTACAGTATTTTTTTTATACAATACATATCTGGATTTAGTTATTATATAAAAATGTAATTTTATTTTATTTTATATTTTGGTTGTAAATACGAATGAAATAAGGACGTAAATTGAATTGGATCCTAAATTAACTCGGGTTTTAAATATGAAAAGTTGTTGGTCGAATTGTTGTTATCGGAGGCTTTACTGTACAGTATACTGTATATATATTATTTCATCATAATTTTTCAGATGAATATAGGTACAGTAGACCCTTGCCATTTCATGAGGGATAGGTTCCAAGAAATGGCGCGAATTGGCAAAACTACGAATAGCCACTTATATAATACCTTAGTGCACTAATATACAGGTATACTTATACTGTGTATGAGAAACTTGAGTCAATATACAGTACTTACATTCGTAGGTGGAAGTCTGGAGCTTGCTGAAGTGGTGCACTGTACATAGGGAGACATCTGGTTACTAAAGCATAGGTGAATCATCAAGATCACTGGTGGAAGAGTGATGCAGTGGTGGTTGGTGGAGAGGAAGGTGGCATGTGGCCAGGAGGCAGGTGACTGGGAGGAGGAGGAGGGTGGAGCGGCAGCAGTAGTACGTACTATATAGTATAGTGCATTTTTTCTCAGCTGAGAAAAGATGCCCCGCCCCCTCCTCAAGAGTTACAGCTGATTGGCTGTTGCAAACCTGTCCGATTTTGTCCTGAAGTAATGATGTACAGGTACTCCTCGACTTACAACAACCCGGACATACGACCGCCGTGGTCGTATAAAATATTTTTCCAATTACGTATTTTCGAGTCTCGACGTTAGTGATTGCGCTGTGTACTGACAAAATTTTTGTTTGTAATTCCCTTTAAAATGGCTGGCAAACGTAAAAGTGAGAGTTCTTGTGGTGCTGAGAAGAAAAAGAGACACCCATTTTAGATTTTCTATGTATTATTTTCGCATTTTCGACTTACGACCTGGTCGTCGGTCCCTAACCCCGTCGTAAGTCAAGGACTGACTGTATTTCTAAAGGAGTTTATTCATAATCGTTGGGATGACCGTTTCTGACGAGAAAGATATTTAGCTAAATTATATAAGATACATACAGTGGTCCCTCGGTTAACGAGCACAATCCATTCTAGAAGGTTGCTCGTTAACTGAAAAACTCGTTAACCTTGGTTCCAGCTCACCGAAAATTGCCTAAATTCAACAAAAAATGTAGAATAGTACACTTACTTTGAGGTGTGTATGTAGAAGGCTCCTGGAATGATGATGATGGGAATAACAATGGGAGTGGAGGAGAAGGGAGAAGAGAAGGCATTGGGGTGGAAGAGAAGTCACCCCATGGTGCCATTTCACCCATAAAATTTTATTCTCTTGGTGTAATTCAAGATTATTTTCTTTAAATCAACACTGCACTGCATTATATATTGTCAATATGTAAAATAAATTTCAAAATGACCAATAATTTGTTTGCAAACACAGAAAAAAGTGTTAAGTTGAAGAGAGTCTCAAGCAAGATGTTACCTCCACTGAAAAGACAAAGACTGACGCCTGTATGGTGTGTTGAGAGGCTGGATGGCGCGCATAAAACTA